AATCCTACAATATGCAAATAACACATAACTACCATGTAAAATGACGTTCCCCAAGCTATTTGCCAATTAACATCAATTCTTGGACTATTGTTGTTGTTCAGTCGTTAAGTCGTGTCTGACTCTTCATGACCCCATGAACCATATTGCGCCAGGCCTTCCTGTCCTTCACTGCCTCCCTGGGTTTGCTCAGTTTCATGCTCATTGCTTCAGTGATGCTATCTAACCATCTCATCCTCTGCCGTCCTCTTCTCCTTTTGCCTTCAATCTTTCCCAGCATCAGGGTCTTTTCCAAAGAGTCCTCTCTTCGGAATAGTCCACATAGTAAATTATAATCACAAACTCTCATTTTAGGAAGTGAGAGAAAGCAGAATAGCAACTATTCTCATATATGAGAAGTGATTTATCCTGGAGGCTACCACTTACTGAAAAGGGAAAAACTCAGCAGAAATTGTGGGGGTGTTGCATCTACATAACGAAAGAATATACTTGCACAGAAATTTAGGAACTGAAGCACTGAAGTGCTTTTGAAAATGTCTTGGTAAGAATAAAAGTAGAGATAAATAAAAATGATACCGTATGAGGAGCTTATTATAGATAGCCTGGGCAGGCAGAAGATACAGATGAGCCTTTTGTGCATTAGATGTCCAATCTTTCAAAGAGGCCTGCAACAGCGATAACAGGAAATTTCAGTAATCCTGACATCATCTGGGAATGTAATTCTGCCAAGAGCCAAGAGGCTCAGCAAATGTTTGTCCTCTCTTGTTGAAGGTGGAAGAAAGAACAAGGGGATCTGCTATCCTGGGCCTAATTCTTACCAGCAGGGAGAAAATGGTTGAAAAGTGGAGGTGAACAGTATCTTGGAGGAAAATGATAATGTAAACCTTAAATTTGTAATATCTGGGAGATATAAGTTAGAAGAATCAGACCTGCATGAAATCCAGAAGAAAAATGCCCAGGAAGGATGGAAAATCCTATGAAACAAGTTACTCAACAATTCCTACAATAATGGGAAGTAGGGAAAAATCTAAAGACACCAGTTTGGATACATGGAAACTGGGAGGGGTAAGCTAATATTTTGCATGAAAGAGAGACAATTCAAAAGATCTAGACAGGCATGAGAAGTAAATAGAAATGAATATTATTTACTAAACAAGTTTATACATGGGCAGCCATCTAACCAGTGGAACTCTGGGAAGTGAAGATAAAAACTTACTGACTGCAGAAGTGTACTGATCGTACAACCCGTCAGCCAGTGGAACAGGCTATCACTCAAGATGGCAAGTTCTCCTTCACTGGAGTTCTGGAGATCTGAACCTCTCAGATGCTGGAGGTTCATCTGTCAGAGATCCTTTAGCAGATCCTTGTGAAAGAATGTAGACCAGCAAGCTATTCCAATCCTATTCCTTGTAACCACAGTAAAAGAGAAGAATTAGCATTTGCCAAATAAAAAGGCAGAAAGAGAAATGATGAAGCTTAAAATGTTATATACAAGGAACATAAAACCTAACTGCATCTAAACTGAAATTTCACTACTAGAATTACCCAGAGCCTAAAACAGTAAACTTTCTCTGCAAGTGTTGTCACTCATTCTGGAAAGCATGGCTTTTTCCTCTGCATACTCCAGGAATAGTCAACCTAGAACCCTCCAGATGTTTACAACATCAACTACTCTCAGCATTGCCAATCGGAATGGGCAGTGGTAATTAGAGTCTAAAGCACCATTTTGCCTAGCTCTGGCACACATGTTCATATTACTTGTGAAATTACTTTCACAAGATTTTTTTTTTATTTTTCATATCTTTTCATCTTTAAAAATAAACTCAAGGACATTTCAGGTGTCATTAGGAACAGCAGCAGAGTATTAAAGTAACTTCTTTTTGCAAAAAGATGTTAGTTGTTGACTGAAATATATCAGTAATTTGTTATCATCTGTAACATCAAGGATCTTTCCCCTCTGCAGTTTAAAGCGATACCAGCAGTCCCAATGTTTCCCCCTTGGTGAATTCGCAGCCCAGAATGGAACCAGCCTTCTGCTGTCACTTCATCTTCTGGATTGGAAGTAGTTTTTCCTGCCTGGGCTCTATCAGAGCAAGAAAGGCCATAAAAGTGATGCCACTTTACAGCTTCTTTTCAAGGCAAACGGATCTTGCTTCTAGCTGTTGTCATAGATATGGGCATATCCAGAGGGGCAGTCATGCTCTTCTTCCTCTATTGCTAATCAGCAGCCACCACCTTCAGTTCTCTCCTCTTCCAGCATTTGCCTCATCTAAGACCAGACCCAAGGTTCTTTCCCAATTCCTTTTAAAATCATACTTTAAGATATTTATCAGAATATGAGGGTCATAGCTTCTGCCAACCCAATTCTCTTCCCCTGCCATCACCAGCTGCACACAAGCCAACATACTACTGCAAAACAGCTCAGAAAAAGGGTGGCTTTTCAGAGCAATGAAGTGTAGCAATGAGGATTCCAGAAAGGAAAAAATAAGTAATTCCAAATGTTCGGACTCTTCATTCATTTCAAAGGCCTTTCTTAACAAAATCTAGCCTATTTCATCTTCTAGCCCAATGTTCAAGGGCTTTTTTTTAGTATTATACCAGGCCCCTAAAAATAAACCAAGGAATAGGGGAGGGTAAAAGCAGACACAAAGTCATTTGACAGGATTATACAGGCGAGGGGGAGGGAGGAACAGAGTTGCAGTGGAACAAAAGTTGTGCTAAGAGGAAATGGCTCAAGTCAGAAACAACTTGCTTCTCATCAGCAGACGACTTTGACAAAGGGGAAAAGTGGTAACGCCAGAGGTGGAGGGCTGTGTACTGGCACTCCTGAGAACAAAGATAGCGTATCTGACTCCCTTCAGATGCTACAAACTGAACAGTAGCACATGTAGGACAGCAATGGCTTTGAGGGTATGTATGTGGAACTTTAAACCAGTAGAAGGAGAATGCCTCAAGATTCACAGGTGTGAGCCCATGAAATCAACCACCCAAACAGCAATGACTTGGACCCTCCGTAACAGATGCATTGGTGGAGACACAGAACTTCTGGCAAATGGAATTAAGCATACTTTGATTCTGTCTGCTTTATTTGTTCTCTGACAAACTGAAGGACATCATAACAACCTCCTACAGATGGAGACACATAATACAAAAAGACAAATAATGCAACAAATATGTTCATCTGTATTTATTTGTTAGATTTACGTCCTGCCTTTTTTTCAGGACAGCATACATAGTGCTTCCTCCTCCCATTTTCCTACACAACCACAAGCTTGTGAGGTAGGCTGAGCTGAAAGAGCAAGATTGGTCCAAAGCCACTTGGTGAGCTACTTGGTGGTTAAGGGCTATCTCTCTCTCTCTCTCACACACACATTTTATTGGGCAGACACAAGGATGGCTTTTGGAGATGCCAAGAACAAAAGCAGAGGAAAAACAATTCCCCCAATGACTTCTAGTATTTATTTATTTTATTACACTAATTCCCAGCTCCCTACTCTCATCCCTATAAGGCAATCAAGCCTATATGAGCACAATCTGCATTAAACACAGGATGGTTTTATAACGGCAAAGCACTGGATTTCTGGTTGAGGACATGGGTGGATCCATGTCGCTTTCTTGGCAACCGCACGGCCGTGATTGTCCCTGCCTCCTTCCAGAATGTTTTTTCCACTTCTCGAGAGAGTTCACAGCCCTGGGATTTCCTGGTGGTCTCCTCTCCAAGCCCTAACCAGGCCCGACCCTGCGTAGGTTCCCACCGCATAGAGGCACCTTGGTTTATTTTTTTTCCAAACGCGCGACGATATTAGCTGACCTAGCCCACGCGGCCTGGGGGCGATGGCAGCTGAAGTCCGAACCCGAAAAAATTGGGGAGGAAGGCCACGCCGCGGGGCGCCCCCGTTACCCGCCCGACGCTTTCTCGCGGG